CTTTCTTCATATGTTTTAGGGGCTGGTTTGAACCATGTTTGCAAGAAATATGTTAGGTGATCTAATACCTTTTTGTTATGTTTTTGCAGGAAATTTTAATTAAGGCAGAGTCAGGAAATTCTTTAAATGTAAGAGTGTTCCAAGAATAATTGATGGCTTTGAAAATTCTAGTATATTTGTTTATATTTGTGCTTTTGCTTTAGTATGGTTTACTATATGTATATAATGTGTGTGCATATAAATTCATACATTTATTGAAATATATAGTATGTATAGATTAGACATATTTTTATGTGTGTCAAACAGTGCATACATTATAATATAGAGAGCTCTCCTTAAATATCTTTAAATACATTTAAATAAATACACCAGGCAACTATATAATGTAATGGAGAGAGTGCTTGACTCTTAAGTCTAGGCATCTGAGTTCTGAGCAGTAAATTCAGCTGGGTTCTATTTCTGTGTTTTAGTGTTGTCATGTCAAAAGGAGGGAGTGGGTTTTGGTGATCTCCAAGGTCATCTTTAGGTAGCTCTAAAATCCTTTTGAGTCAGTGACTATTATGGAATGTTTAGCCCAATTCCAGTACTATTTTGCTTTTTATTTCAGAATCAAAGAGTAACATTGCTAATGAACCAATCTTTTTTTTAAAGATTTTATTTATTTATTTTTAGAGAGGGAAGGGAGGGAGAAAGAGAGAGAGAGAGAAACATCAATGTGGGGTTGCTGGGGGTCATGGCCTGCAACCCAGGCATGTGCCCTGACTGGGAATCGAACCTGCGACACTTCAGTTCGCAGCCTGGGCTCAATCCACTGAGCTACGCCAGCCAGGGCTGAACCAATCTTTTCATGCACCCGTTGGTGCCCTAAGAAGTTTATTATTATGTTATGTGACTGAAGATTTGTTCTTTGTGTAAGCTTTTCTGGGTTGGGACCAACTTTTTATTCTAGGGAGTGACTTACATATTTCTAGAAGAGGTCTAAGTTGCTGGAATCAGAACTTGAACCTTGTGGTGAGCTTGATTTTTTTCCTTAATATACTGCTTTTTGAAAAGCAATTTTTCTTTCCCTGGCTTTCACAGTTCCTTGAACATTGCAGGCACTTAATAAATATTTATTGAATTGAATCTGACCTGCTTAGAAGTCATAGTCCTGGTGTAGGGTTATTCATTTTCAGCAGGAGCTGTCATAAATCACAGAGTTTAATACTAATGCTCCTGATGAACTGCACACTCAGCGGCATATGGTAGTTCAAATTTGCACTTTCCCAAGTGCAAATTTAGAAAACTGTGATCTAAAAGGGCTTTGGTGAACTGACTAGCCTATTTCAAATCTATTTGTACCTCTCAGCCATGGGTTTCTTGCATCCCCACCTTTTTGAATGATTGCTTTGACTCTGCTCTTCACACACCCTGTACTCTGGTGCCTCTCAAGCCTTTGCACACCCCTTTGTCTGGAATATTCCCTTTACAAATTTAGGTATGCCTTTCTTAACACTTCCGTGTATAAACAGGTAAGCTGCATCATTTCTCCTCTAGTACTTTGTATGTTCCTTTTTTGCAGAACTCATATTCTGCTGTAATCAGAATTCTTTTCTAAACCACTAGTCTTTTTCAGAAAATTGGAGAACAGGCCTGTGATTTATTCCTTTCTGTATTCCCTAGGGTCTGAAACAATGCCTGTCACAAACATTTGTAGAGTTAAAAAGTCAGTCTTGAAGCTCATGTAAATTTGCAAATGGAATAAAATAAAAATGTAAATGAGTTTTACTAGAAATCATCAATTACATGTCTGATTCTAATTAAATTGTGATATAGTTAGAAAGAAGATCAGCCTGAGATTCAGAAGATGTAGGCTCTTGTGTTGGATTAATGACTTTTTAATAGTCCCTTAATCTTTGTAGTTCTTAGTTTCTTTATCTGAAAATGAATGGATTGGACAGGATCTTTACTAAGATCCCTGCAAGCAAGAATTACATTGCTCCTAAGTTAATTATAGAGAACTAGGTCTCTTCTGCCAGACTCTTTGAGGCAGGAAGTATGTTCTAATCATCTATAATTTCCTGGCACAAAGCTTAGTACCTGGTATATAGTATTTATTCAAACAATGTTACTGAATAAAGCGATAAATTCTTACAGAGTGTTATGATTTAAATAAAGCAAATGAGAAAAAGGTCAGGTAGATAATAGTAAATTAACAATATGTAACATTTAAAAGGATGTGTTAAAGAACAGTTATTTGGAATGTTTGAAAAAAGTACCTGAGAGAATTTTATTTTTGAATTATGGTTTTTGTTGGCCATGGGAGAAATTTTTTATTTATCAGTTAAAATATTCAACAGTAGAGGAAATTAATTTGCAACCACCTAGTTCCCCAACTACAAGTTAATAATTTATCAATTATTAATATGTTGTAATATCTGCAATATCTGTAATATCTGTAACATGTTGTACGAAGTTTGATGTTGCTGAAATTAAACTGCTCCTGCTATAGGATGTTGGTAGTAATGTTTTTGAAAATTGTACATAGTCGTTATACTAACGTTCAGTTTTAAGAACTGAAAAACTATATCCTGTTTCAGCCAGGATTTGTTAAATCATTGACAGATTTGTGACACCATTAGGCTTCAGTGGAGAATGAGCATCTCTGATTATATCAAAAAGTCATAAAAATAAGCGTGTATAAAAGTTTCATTGGCCCTTTTAAGTGTACCTTTGTAAAAATTTGGCAGTTTTTGATAAATTATTTGCTGTCTCAACTTTTCTGTTTGTTTAGGAGATCAAAATAATGTTTTTACATTTAAACTATGCCTGTACCTTTTACTGATTTGAATAATTGTGTAGTTTAAACATGAAAATACGGAAGTAATATAATCATACTATTTATGTATAATTTATATATATGTACACCCATATAGTATTCCAGAATCAATCAAGCAAGCCATCTATATTTCTGTTTTACTTCTGTGCAATATACTAGACAGTTGTGTTTTAGGCACTGTATGCAAAAAGGACAAAGACATGAAAATGCCTTCAGTGAACGTGAGAAATGTTTCCCTTAAATTAGGGGCTGATGCTTGATAGTTTGAACAAGATCTTTCATCCCACACAAAAAAAATTGTATGGCTATTTATTAAAGAAAGCAAGTGAGGCTACTTTTTTTTCATTTGTTGTTTCCTTGACTTTTAATTTGTGGTTCTTGAAAGTGTTATTTTTCAACTGCCTTCTATTTGGCCCAGACACTTTTATGAATACCCAGCAGTGGATCCATGCTTTGCAGAACTTGAAATTTGGAGAGATCCTTTTAATAAAAAGGAATACAAATACAAAAGTATAAATACAAAACTGGGTATGAGAGTGAATTTTCATAGAACAATAAAGTTATAATAATTTATATTTTGATTCTCTTCCATTGTCCACATATACTTCTAGTTCTGGGTACCACTGGCCACATTCAAATGACCAGATTTTACCTGGACCTTCCTCTTCCCATGCAGGGCTAGTCAGCACCATGGCTACTTGAAATATTCTAGAAGCCATTCTTTCGCCAAACTGACGACAATAATTTAACTAGTTCCAGAAAGGACTATGTACTTCACATATACCTTTCACTAAAGCTAAAGTAAATGTATCTCAACTCAATTTCTAGTTAGCCAGATTCCAAAAAACCCCAGTGCCACCCAACAGAAAGTGAAATGTGATAGAAGTAAAGTCACTCTAGAAGAAGACAGCCAAGTTAACCACTGTTAACCAATTGTATTTAAGGTATCTTGCTCTTGAAACTTGTACAATAAAAAAAAATAAGGCCTTTAAGAGTCAAGTATCTGAGGGGCCTTCAAGTTTACACTTCACTAGCTTCTCAGTAAATCTGCCTGTGTGTGTACATTTTGCCTCTTGTAAAAGTGTGCACTCCATACTATGTATGGTCTTGTGCCTTTCCAATGATTTTATTAAATAATTACTGGTTTCTTACCCACCCCCACCCCCCTACCCCCATTCAAGGGGTAAGAATGAGATATGTTAATTTTGACCAAATCACATGGACAAGTGGAAGTGAATACAGTAGTTGAATTACTCTGTGTCCTTGCTAGCAGAAGGTATTTTCAGTTCTGCAGGCAGCCCTCAACACCCCAGTGGTTGTGTGGCACCTGAGTGACTGAACCGTTAGGCTGCACCGCAGGTTTGTCAGCATGGGACATAATCTGGGGAGGTGGAAAAGACTCATTCTAACCTGACACCTATTACTACTTAATGACTCATTTATTAAAAATGCACCTCTTTGTTTTATTCTCCTCAGGGTTAGGAACAATATACCAAAACATTAATTAAAATCAATGAAAGTATTTTAGCTGGGAGTTCAATGTAGTAAAATAATGCATAAATATGAAACAATGGTTACCAGTAGAAGAGGCTCATTTCCTCATTTTTATTTAAAAAAGTGATTTAGTGGTATACAATAATTAACACCCTGAAGTTCTAGTAAACTGTGAACAGTAAGACATTGTAAAAGAGAATGAAATCTTAGGGGTTGAAAGTAAAGGTATGATGTCAGAAAAATTGAGCAAAAACAAACTCATGGGCACGGACAATAGAACGGTGGTTACCAGGGGGAAAGACAGGTTGAGGGAGGTAGAAGAGGGTAAAAGGACAATAAATGGTGATGGAAAGAGATGATCTGGGCTGATGAACACATGATATAGCCTATAGATGATGTATTATATAATCATACACCTGAAACGTATATGAATTTTATTAACCAATGTCACCCCAATGAGTTCAATTTAAAAAACTGAATGGGAGGAGAAGAAAATGGGATTTAATTGTATTAAGATAGATGCAGGTGTTTGTCAACTCTTTCTGGATTGTTGTTAATAATTTTAAGATCAAAATTTATATTATGGAAAGTGAGGAAATAAGACATAGATTACCAAGTTTCTCAGTTTTTCCCTGAAAGAATGTATTGTAGTTCATATGAAATGTTTTATTTTTGTCTTTGTTTTTAGGTCAGACTGTGTCAGAATCCCAAACTTCAATTGAAAAACAGCCCACCATATATACTTGATATTTTACCTGATACATATCAGCATTTGCGACTTATATTGAGTAAATATGATGACAACCAGAAACTTGCCCAGCTCAGTGAGAATGAATATTTTAAAATCTACATTGATAGTCTAATGAAAAAGTCAAAACGAGCCATAAGACTCTTTAAAGAAGGCAAGGAAAGGATGTATGAGGAGCAGTCACAGGACAGGTAAGAAAACTTCAGATTTTATGTCTTGGTGTTAATTAAGGTCATCTGTGTTGCTTTTTATTTCATAGGTAGCATGAACATCACCATGCTTGTTTTGGGGGAAATATCATTTCATTTGTGCATGTACTTTTTACATTATTTAAATAAACCTTCTAGTTTTACATAAATTTATGATGATAGTTTGTGAGATAGTGTTCTTATTTTTTAATAGATTTTATATTTTAGAGCATATTTAGATTTACAGAAAAATTATGTGGAAAGTACAGAGTCCCCATATACCCTTTCCTCTCAACATGCAGTCATTCCTATTGTTAGTATCTTGCGTAGTGTGCTACATTTGTGACAGTTGATGAACTTTATTGATGCAGAATTATTAACTAAAGTTCATAGTTTGTATTAGGTTCACTGCTTTAAAAATATCATGGCTCTCTGTGGTTTAGCCTTATTACAAAGTCTATAGTTTAAATCATGTTATGCAACACTTTCAGACCGGCTTCATTCACTTAACAATAGCTTGATAGCTCATTTATTTTTATTCCTGAATAATACTAATTACAAAGGCATACCAGTTGATTCATTTATTTGTTTATGGACATCTTGGTTCCAAGTTTTGGCAATTATTGATAAAACTGCTATAAATATTTATATGCCAGGTTTTAGTGTAGGCATAAACTTTTAGCTCATTTGAGTAAATACCTAGGAGCATGATTGCTTGATCTATGGTAATCCTGTTTAGCTGTGTAAGAAACTCCCTAACTGTCTTCCAAAGTGACTATAACATTTTACATTCCTGCAGGCAATGAATGAAGGTTCCACATTGCTTCATATCCACCAGTATTTGATATTGGCGACACTGTCTTCAAGACAGAGTCTTGACTGAACATATGGGTGTGGTGGATGTGGGTGGGAGATGTATGATAGCATCAGCTCTCATACCTGTCTGTGGAGGGAGAAACTGGGCTGAAGTGGCAGAGACTGGAGTGACATCAAGACTCCTTATTTTTGTAGCTATAATTCTTGACTTAGAAACTCCTCATCAAAGTTTATTGTTTGGCTAATTCAATTTTAAATTTTGTGATCTACCTTAAACCAAATAAAATAATAGTTTTTTATTTCTGGGATATTTTAACTGTATCTAGAATATTCACTGATAGTGATAATTTACTTAACTTTCTAAACTGAAAAACAAATGTGGTATTAATTTAAATATATAATATCTTAACATAAGCTGAATGTCAGTTTAAGATACTTTACCTCTCTGGATTTTAGTTTACTTTTATATATAGAAAAATCTCTAAGGAACCTGTAATGTTCCTTTCAGATTGAAAAAACTAGCCTAATGAAACATAGGTTTTTATAAGAGAAAATTAAGTTATCTAGGTATTCGGACTCGGAAGTTATCCATAAAACAACCTAGAGTGAGTAAACCTATCTAATTTAAATATAGAAAAACTCTCTGCCAAATGTAAAATGTCATGAAGTGTTACTTATTTATAATTTGCTCTGTAGATTAGTGATGAATGCCAACATAATCATAGGAGTTTAACCTGTTATCTAGCTGTGGGTTCATCACTTAATATTCTTGGACCACAATTTACACATCTTGAGGGTGGTGAATCTTCCAATAGCCTTTTAGCTTTAGAGCTCTAAGATTCTTTCTAGGACCACCCAGGTGAATTTGGATTGTCACAAGGAGCTGGAAGAAAGGTGGAGACATAACATAGCGATTGTTTCTTCTTAGAGACCTTTCAGGAATGGCCAAGATTATGGGAAGCCAGATACTTATTTAAAACTGTATTTTCACTTTGTAGTTCTAACACTGATCTAGTAAGACTAAATTGTTTTAGAAACATCATTATAGTCCTTATTCAGATTTAGTAGCCCTGAAATTCTTTCTGGTCCAGCAAGATAATCCATTAACTTTTACATTTTAGGGTACTAAGACAGTGAGAAGGTATCTAATTTCTAGGAATTTGTGTTGATACAATGTTTTAATTGGATGTAGTAATATATGATATGGTAAATTTGTGTCCCACTTTTACGTCTTCGATAGTAACAAGAAACATTTTCTAACTCATTAGATGTCTTGTAACAACCATTTCATGTATACATTTTGATATTTTGGGGGTTTGTGTAGGAGCGTATCATGGGGGACTGTGTAAACTTTGGTTGTGTGTAGATATCTGTAGATGATGAGAGATTGCAAAATGCTAACAGATAACATTGAGACCCCTCTTTAAATTCTGTGTTGTAACTATCACTTTGCTAAATTTGACCCTAAGACAAAGGTTATTAGTTTCTTTGCTGGTATAGCATTCCTGATTGGATTTTACTGTTATATATGTCCCATATTTTGATAGTGCTCTGTGGCCAGCTGTATTTATGCAACACTTACATCTGGTAAATATCCGATCGTAGTTTATAATGTACCATTCTTGGTACACCATAACAAGAACATAGGTTTTTGATTTATCTTTCTTTTGGTAGTAATATGTTTTTACACATTCACTTCCAGGTTCTGCTAGGGTTCCAAATGCAAACTGAGGCTAAAGTGTGTCATTGTATATGGAGCTCTTGGGTATTTTGCTCTATAGAATATAAAAGAAACTTCTTAAAATGTTATCATAGTTGACAGGCAACAGAGTATTCTATTTAGTAGAATGACTTATCTAACATGTATGCCACACTAATTATTGGGAATATTATAAATTCTCCAATCTTTTTTTTAATTCTGCAAATAATATCACTGAGGACATTAGTATTATTGCTAAAAATGAAGGACAGTAATAGTAGAAATAGTAATTTGGAGTTCAGTGACCGCACCAGTATTTTCTCTAGTGATTTGGTACTTTATTAAAGAAAATTGTGCTGGATGAATACATGAATAAAAATGATTATTTTAATGTCCCTGTTGTATCAAAAATAAGCTCTGGATTTGTTTTAAATGTAAGGGGAATCTAGGTATCAGGTATCTAGTATCAATCAGGTATCTAGATTGAACTAGCTCTGTTTAAATTGATGGTCAAAATATGAGTAGCCTGAATTTTTAAAGCAATTTAACATACATGTGATAAAAATAAGAACAAAAAAATAAATATGGCAAATGGCATGAAATGTATTTCCTGTATAGAAGGCAAGAGGTAGAAATTATAGTTAGAAAAATTTATTCACTACTGAAACAAATATTAAGGGCACATAGTACAAGTCTCTTGCTTTGAGAATAGGTGGAATAATGACTTCTGGAAGAGGCAGGCCTTGATTGATTTTTACAGTAAACCTTTTTTTCCTTGTGTAGTTTCATTTTTCTCCATTTTTTGTTTTTGTTTTTCTGTTTTTCTACCAACAGTTGAACCTCACGCTGAGTCACTGTTTCTCCAGCTTGAGTGTCTAAACCATTCTGAGCTGGTATTTCTGGGAAGAGTACAGTGATTTTTGGCACACAAAGTTTTTGTGCATATGTGTGGAGTGGGGGCTGGGGAGCTTGTAGAGAAGGGAGAATTTGTACTCTCAAGTACAGAGAAAAGAAGGAACTTTATATTATATTGCTTAAAGTTTAAATGGAAAAAGCAAAACTGGTGTGAAGGCAGTTAGAGCTGAAAAAAGTTGATACTGGAGGTGCCATTCTTCAGTGAGTTGACTTGCAGTTTCATCAGATGACGATTTTAATAGTAAAATTCACTCTTTTATATAAAAAGTTATCTATTAATCACAGACTGTGCAAGGCCTGGTGTTGGAGATTGTTTTTAAAAACACTCAGAGGGGATGGCCTAATAATATTCAGATTTTCCATATTTTAGAACTGCTTCAGTGAACCAGAGTGCTACAACCCATTTTTTCCCTCCCACACTCTGGTTTGCAACCACTGAAACAAAACCAGAAATCGACTGAGGTGGAAAATAACTCTGTGTTTGATAACCTATCTGTGAAGAAAATAAAGGCTTTTTAAAATATGTGTGTCAGAGAGTAATATATAGATGTTGTGTTATTATTAATGTCATTTCCAAGACCTGGACCATTCCTTATGCACATGTGTTGTAGAAAACAAATCATAGTATGTATAGTTTGTATAATATTCATTCCAGTTAAGATGTTTTTAAAAAAGTATTTTGACATAAAAAAAATTAGTTCTAAAAGATGCTAGCCTTTATTTAAAGTCCTTCAGGAAAAAATATTTTCTTCATTGAAAAAAGAAAAATGTATATAACCTGTTAAAGTTAGAAAAGTGCCTTTCCTCCTAAAGGACCATAGATCACTGTGCTTGCTGTTTATATCTGTCTGGTCCTTTATGACATAGTATACCAAGAACATTTTGGAAGTGATCAATTAAAGATACATGAAAAAGTTGGAAGTTGAATCAAAAACAGCATTAGTTACAACAACAACAATAAAAGCAACAACAAAACACAACGCTGCAAACAAACCTACCTTCTTTTCTCATACCCCTGTATGACAACATTGCTTTGGCCTAAAATAATGTTGCATTAATTTAAATATTTATATTTGCACAAACACAAAACATGTTGATTACATGGTCATTGAAGTAGTTCTGAAATTCCTCATGGATTTTCAGTTTAAGCACATAAAGAGGTTGACCTGTTTGCACAATGTGGGCTTTATGTAACAGTTTTGTTACTAGACCTCACATGTTAATAGCCTTGTTTATAATGTCACTTAGTTCCACATTTTCTCATAAGCAGCTCTGTACATTATGAGAAGGAAATGAAGAAGGAGTGCTGTTGAACCGAGTGCAGGAATCTCACGGTCTGATGCCTTTTCTGCCCCAAGTGGTCTTTGTAACCTTTCTTGGTTTCCTGACTCCAGTCTGTTTTCTCAGCCTTTAAATTATTTTCTGGATGGCCGCAATATTTTTTTGGCTTAGATATTTCAACATCATAAAAGGAAGATGTAGTTTGTTTCAGACTAATGATGCTGTTGCTACATTAGTTTATTAGTTTTTCACATTCAGTAGTGGTTTATGCTAAAACGGTTGTTTATGTTAT